TTCTACTTGCTAAATCTGGCAACCTTACCCCTGGAGTTCATTCCTTCTGCTCGTGCCCGGCTGGGCCGGGCCGGATGGCCCAGGTCATGCCTGGACACGGCCCCTGCCTGCCCGGGGTCAGCTCCTGCTGGCTCCTGGGATGGCGCTCCTTCCCTCGGCAGGCCCCACCTGCAGCCCCAGCTCCCAGGGGGACACCTACCCCCTACCTCGCACGCACAGTCCAGCCGACAGGCAGTCAGGAAGGCTGCCGGGGCCTCTTGCATGAGGGACCCAGAGAGAGGGGAACAGAGGCATCGCTGCAGAGACTCCAGCGTCTGAGACAGAGAGGCAGAGACCCAGAGAGGAAGGGGCAGGGCGAGGAAGCAGAAGGAGACGTGGAAGATGGCTAAGACAGACTGACAGAGAGCTTGCGGCCCGGGAAGCTGCAGCGGGCGGGGGGTCCGGAGAGCCCGCCGGGGTTCCTTCGGAGTGGCTCAGGGCAGAGGCTGAGCCCCTGCAGCCCAGTTTGGGGCCAAGGCTCTGGGCTCTGGATGGGCCGGCCTTGGGCCGCAGCCTGGGGTCTCCGGCGCCGGCTGTCAGGGGTGGGGGTCCTCGGGGCCCCTCTGCACTCTCCCCCTTGCCCTGCCTCCCAGGGGCCAAACACAGGGACATTGACAGCTTCCCAGAAGGGCCTCTGGGGCAGCCAGAGTGGCGTTTAAAATTAGCCTTGCTAACCAGATCTGGTTATTTCAGGAGGCTCCGTCCCTGGCTGTCCCCTCGGCAGGGCGGGACCTCCACATTCCAGGGTCCCTGGTTAAGTACCCCCTGTGGCCTGAACAGCAGAGAACGTCCAGGTCGCAGTCCCCTGGCGCTGGGCGGGCCTGGGCCTGCGGCCGGCTCTTTGGCAAAGCTGCCCCAGGGCGAGCCATGGGCGTCCAAGGACACCCCAGCGGCTGGGAGATGGGGGGAGGACCCCTCCTATTGGGCACGGGGTCCAGGCCAGGTCCCTTGGAGGCTGCGAGAGCCTCTTCATGGCGACAGGTAGGGCTCTGCCCCCATCTTACAGGTGGGGAGACTGACGCCTGGGGAGACAGGTCCCCACTCTGAGGCAGGGGAGATGAGGCTGCCGGGTCAGCCGGGTAGCCAAGCCCCTCCGCAGGGGCCTCTGGCCTCCTGTGTCTGGAGCAACCTCTGACAGCTGTTTGCAGCACCAGAGTTGTCTCTAAGCCGAGCCCAGGGCTTCCCAGGGCCCTAATTCCCAGCCTCGGGTCCATGTCCTGGCTCGCCCTGCCCACCTCCGAACGCAGGACGAGCACGGAGCTGGCGCGGGCACAAGAGAATCAGCACTGGACGCTTTGATCACAGAGGCTGGTTTGGTCCTTGGCCTCCCCCGGCCCCACCCTGGAGCCTGGAAGGGTGGGGTGGGGTGGGGGCCCCGGCTGGAACCCAGCCCTAAAGCTGGTCGTTTCCACTGATGGGGGTGCAGGCACACCCAGGCAGGCCAAGGGGGCCAAAGAGGGTGCTGCTTGCCCAGCTGGGCTCCAGCTTCTGCGCTAGGTCGGCGGGGGGCCAGAGCAGGGGCGGGTGTGTGAGGGGGGTGGGAGAGTGTGGGGGGGGTGTGGGCACCCAGTAACGGGACACAGTGGGATACACTCATTTCTTCTCTGGAAGGATCATCAAGCAGGGGAGCCCTGGAGCCTGGGGTTCAGGGATGCAATTGATCATCGCACATTCCTGACACCCATCCCGGGCCGGCCACCTCATCGCCCATGCAGAGAGCTGGCCCCATGGCCTGCGATGTGGGTGACGGAGATGTCCTCATTCGTGGCTAAGTGCGAACCCCCACAACGCACCGCATGCTGGGGCTGCACCTCACTGAATCCTCCCACCCGGGCACTGAAGGCGGGGCTGCTAGCATTCTCCGAGGTCCATGCGCCCAAAGTTACAGAGCTTATAGGAGGTAAATAAACTCAGAGCTAGGCTCTTGGTCTTGGGGCTGGACTGTGGCTACTGGCCCTTGGTGGGATGGGAGGAGGCAGGGCCCAGGGTGGGTGGGGGTAGGGTTAGAGAAGAGGGGTTAGGCAGAGGAGGGAGTGGCGGGGTGAGCCGGGGACCCGTTGAGTCTAGGGCCAGACCTGGGTGGATGGAGCTGGGGAGTGAGTCACCACCCCTGGGGGGGGCCCCAGACATCTGAGGGTCACAGCAGGGCCCCGTCAGGAAGGCCCTAGGGTGCCCCCAGCATCGTCCAGGGGAGGGTGTGGGGGCTGGTGGTGGGGAGGGCGTGAGGCCAAGGCATCATGAGCCCGCCGGGGGCCCACCTCTAGGCCCCAAATCCCCCAAACTGTCCTGCTTCCTGTGCTCCTATCTCAGAGCAGAACCCCCCACACCCCGTTCACCAACCTTCGGGCCGGACCCCTGAGCACCTCCCAGCTCCTCCCTCAGCCCTGTCCTCCAGATGCTCGTCTCCCAGCACCTTGCAGATGCCCCGTGTCCTTGGCAAAGGGCTCCTGGACCGACGCTGCCCGGCCGGCGCCGCCAGCCACCCCCTGCTCCCGGTGTTGCGTGCTCCACGGCTTCCCCACTGACCTCGGCATATTCAAGGCCATGGGGCCTCTGGCCTGGTCCCTGCCCTCTGCCTGCCCCCTCCACCATCACCATCAGCTTCCCTTCTCAGCTGCAAGCCGTACTCTCAGGCCTCCCTGCGCACCGGCGGCTCCCTCCCCACGGACACTATGCTAAGCCTTTCTGGGGGGTGCTCAGGCACCACGGGGTCTTCCCCAACCCCCCCTCTGCCAGGCTGGATCCCCGGGCTCCTCCCACATCTCCCCCACCCCACCCTCCCCCGAGGCCCTCATCGCCCCTTTATCACCCTAATTGCTCTGCACCAGGTGAGCGCCTTCCGGCCGCTGGACATGTTCAGCCTGTCCCCGCCCCCATCAGTGCGGGTAAGCGATCCCTTGGCGCCCCCTGATGGCCACACAGGGAACACACGTAACCTTCACCCACCGGGCGCCTGACGCTGTGCTGGGTCTTCCACCTGCACCTGCTCGAGGAATCCTCAGGACGGATCCCCGGGAGAAGTACTACCACTCCCGTGTTACAGAAGTGGAAACAGGCTCAGGGAAGCTTCTAAGTTTCTCAGCACCACCAGCGAGTAGCAGGACTCCAATTGGTGGGCGTGAGTTTGAGCAGGCTCCAGGAGTTGGTGATGGACAGGGAGGCCTGGCATGCTGCAGTCCATGGGGTCGAGAAGAGTCGGACACGACTGAGCAACTGAACTGAACTGAACTGAACTGAACTGACTTCAAAGCCAGGTTCTCCCTGCTGGGGAGAGGGAACAAGGTGGGAAAAGGGTAGAGGGGAAAGCCACAGCTGGTGGTCAAAGAGCTCATCGCTTGGCCTTGGAGGTGTCTGCAGACCCAGCAGCTCTGATTTGGAGGGGATGGCGGGGTGGGGAGGTTGAGGGGTGGGGAGTGGTGGGGGTTAGTGAACAGGCTCTTGGTCTTGACCATAGCACCCCTAAGATCTGTCTGGGTTTGATCTGAGAGGAGGGAGAGGGTCACATGAAGCCAGGTCCAACTCGGGGTACAATAGCGATAAATAGAATTTATTTTGTACAACTGTCACCGACACACACACACGGCCACAGGGGCTTCCGAAACGGGTGTTGGGGCCGGAAGGCTGCCCTTTGGCGTGATGCCTAAAAAGTGTGGACACACACAAGGATGTAGACTCGCAGCAGCTGTGCCTGACTGCCCGCTCTGTGCGGGGTGGGGGTGGTGCAAAGGTGAGCCAGCTGAGACCCCTCGGCCTGGAGTGCCAGGAGCAGGAGGTGCCAGGGGGTTGAGCCAGGGGCTGGCGAAGAGCCACGTGGGCCCCCCACGCCCGCAATGGGGTCACTCGTCTGTCACGTAGAGGCGGTGGGCAGGGCCTCCGCAGGCCTGCGGCACACGGCCTGAGGGTCTAGGAGGTGCCATGGGCACAGCCAGCCCCCTGCCCCTCAGCCGACCTGGGGCCCCAGGAACCCCAAGAAGCAGGAGAGGGTGACGGGAGGCCCCCGGGAGGGCAATCCTCCATTCGGGGGCAGCTGCGCGGAGTCTTCAGTGACCTCTGAAATGATCTCGTCCATTTAGAGCCGAGGCACCCAGAGAGGGAGTGTGATGGGCCTAGAGCCGCACAGCGGATCCCAAATCACAGGCTAGGACTCAGGACTCCCAGCCCAGTGCTCCTCCTCCCCACCGCCTCCATGGCAGGCTCTGCGTGCACCGAGATGTCTAGTTCTCCTTTCCAGCTCACTCCCTCGAATCCAGAGCGGCACCCAAGGGTGATGGATGAGCCAGGCCTGGAGTCCCGTTCCAGCTGACCTCTCCCCGCCGCAGCCAGCCTCCCAGCCCAGGGGGTGGGGACGGTGCCAGCAGCTTCCCCGCTCCCAGGGCTGGACGGCTCCACTCTGCAGAGACAGCCCGGACGTGGGCCAGGAGGAGGGCTGGGGGAGGGGTGGGCCCCAGGCTGGTGCTGGCCTCGGGGGCGGAGGTCCCGTCCGCCTGGATCTGCCAGAGCATCTGCCTTGTGCCTCTGCGGCCTTGTCTGCAGGGTAAAGGGAGACGGACGCGCCATGAAACAGGGAGACAGCAGTGGAGGGGTCCCGCCCTTGGGAGGGATCTTTCCATCCCAAGGGGAACCCCCGAGACCCCTCCCTCCCAATGATTCCCAAGTCCCTTTTAGGCTCTCATTAAATCCTCTCAGCAACTCATGGGCAGAGGTGAGGCAGAATTTATTGACCCACTGTACAGATAAGGAAACTGAAGCCCAGGGTCACCTAGCAACTGAGCGGCAGAGGATTCAAACCTAAATATGTAACTCTCACCCCGCAGAGGTGATGGAGAAAGAAACAAGTCGGCCCAGCCCTGCCTTTTCTCCCTGCCCTTTCTCTGCCCTTTCTCCCCTGCCGGCCCCCAACCAAACAGGAGCTGAGGGCTGGGACTGACCTGCTCGGGGCCACCTTCAGAGCGGCAGAGTGGCTAACAGCCCTGTGGTCAGAACAGCGGCAATACAGGCGCCGGGACAGGGGACGTGGGAGACACGGGCGAGCAGAAGTCAGCGGTTGTGCCCAAGCTGGACAAGCCCAACCCCTCCAGGCTTGGGGCAGGGGGCAGTGCATCTTGGTCCAGCACCATCCCTGGGGACCCCTGGCCACCTGAGGCCTCTCCCCAACAGCCGATCCCCATCCCGGGGGCAGGGGGTGCTCTCCACAGGGCCAGCCCCCAGGCCATCCTTCCCACCCCCACCCAGGCCCCTGGCAGCTGCACGTACCAGCTGGGGCGTGTGCTGTTCAGATGCTTCCAGCTGGATCTTGATCTCGGGACACGCAGGGTCCCCCAACTTGCCGGCGTCGGGGTGGGGTGACCGAGAGGGGCCTGGGGAGGGAGGCAGGAGGGAGCCACCTCACTGGCCGCGGGGAGGCACCAGGGAGATGGGGGCATGGATGGGCGGTCGGTACCAGCGTCCCCCAACCCCAGCAAGCCCCTCCCTTGGGTACCCCCACCCTTAACTCCTATCTTTACCCCCTTTAAAGCCCCATCAACCTCCAAGGCCCTTCTAGAAGCCACCAGTCCTCCGAGCCACCAACTACCATAATAGACGGGATAAGGACCAGCCCACGGAGCCCCTGTCAGCGGCAGGCCCATCACACCCACCACCTAGGGCCTGAAAACGGGTCTCCGTGCCCTCCATGCCCAGCCCTGGACCCGGTCCATCACGGGAGTGGCCGCACCCGCTGAGGGGTTGGCCCTGCTGGTACCTGGGGAGCTGCCTCCGCTCGTGGTACTGATGCTGTCCTCCAGCCACGTGCTGTAGATGAAGGAGTCCCGCTTGTGGGGCGTCCCGGAGGAGGAAACGCTCTCCTGGGACGGGGAGGAGAGCAAGAGGGAGGTTAAGTCCTTGCCAGCGGCACTGGCTGGCTCCCCCTCCCCTCCTCACCCCTCCTCTGCTATAATCCACAAACCAACCCCCCCCCCGACCCTGGCCCCTCTGCAGAGAGGGTGAGGGCCCAGCCATGTCTGCCCCAGGGGACCCCAGGAGGGCAGAGTGGGAAGAGAAGCGGACACAGACACACACACACTTTCCACTCATCCGTGCGTCCAAACCCTGATGTTCTCATAAGCCAAGCCACCAAGAAAAATCGAGAGGGGTCCTGGCCCTCCAAGACCTCCAGGTCAAGAGAAGAGACAGGCTGGGAAGAGACTAGCGCAGTTCCAGATCCCAAGCCCCACGGGGTGGGGGCTCAGCGGTCTGCACGCGCAGCCTCTGACATGGAGCCTGGCAGGGGACTGAAGGGTTGCGGAGCGAAGCGTGATGGAGCCAAGGACAGAGCCCAGGGCACAGGGGCTCCTGACCCACCCTGGGCCCGGAAAGGCAGGCTTCCCGGAGGAGGCGCTGGGAGGCTGAGCTGAGGAGGAGCAGGAGCCAGTCGGACAACGGGGGAAGGAGGGAGCAGGTAGTGTTCCAGACAGCGGACCGGCGTGTGCAAAGGCCCAGGGGTAGAGCAGTAAGCCTGACTGGTTCGGGGACTGGCTGAAGGAGCAGGGCAGACTGGCCAAAGGGGTAAGAGGCGGGGCTGGGGAGAGAAGGGCTAGACCTTCAGTGGCCTCACAGATTGGGGAACTGGGGAGCCAAGGGAGGCTTCAGAGTAAGGGAAGGCCAGCCTGCACTACTCCTCGGGGCTGGGTCTCCTGGTCACAACTCAGCCACAGCCGGGCTCACGCTTCACCCCGGGGCGTCATCTCCAGAGAGAACCCCTTTCACGCCGCCGCGGGGCACCTCTCCCCCCGGGGCCCCTCACCAGGCCCGTGTCGTCCGCGTCCAGGCCCTCTGCCTCCTCCACGACGCTGGCGAAGCTGCTGGCACTGGACGAGGAGCGGGAGAAGCCCTTTAGCACTTCTGCTCTCTGGGCCGCTGTCTCCGCTCTGCCAAGAACACGTCCCGTCAGCCGGCATCCGTGGTGGGCATCTCCTGAGCCAAAACTCCCGGTCCCTGCCCTCTCTGCCCAGGCAGGCCCAGCCTGCGGCCAGCCAAGCTCCACCACGGCACCTTATAGCTTCGGGGGCCCCTGAGATGCCCCGATGCCACCATCCTTCCTAACACAGAGATCCTGTCAGGCCCCAGTCCTGCTCCTACCCTGGCTCCCCACTGCCCCCGATGAAGCCCAATTCTCTTGGCTGTATGTTCAGTCAGAACTATTTATTTATACACCATCGGCTAATAGTTACACTATCGGTTAATAGTTATACCATCGGCACCATCATTGAGTGCAGATTTGCTCTGTGGCAGGCACTGATCTAAGTGTGTTGACCCCAGTTATCTCATTGCTATCATTGTTGGACCCGTTTTACAGATGAGCAGACACCTAAGCACAGAGAAGGTGGGCACACAGCCCGAGGTCACCCAGCCCGAGGTGCGAGAACAGGCAGGATCCGGGCCTTCCACCTCTACAGTCTACTTCCTTAACTCTCTCTCAGTTTTGTTCCATGTCCAAGGTCTTTTCTCCTCACGATCACCACCGTATCACATTGATTATTCCAATGTCACCAATACAGCCGGAGGAGCTCATGTAACACTGCACAGGATCTCCTGCCTTCTAGCTTCTGCTCAGAGAGAAACATCTGCCCACTTGTTCCTTCCTCCCCCCTTTCTGGAGGAAAATCCACTGCAGGCCAAACTGCGTCTCCTGCCTGGCGTTGCACGCCTTCCCTCAAGTCCTAAAAAGTAAATTCACTTTTCAAACACCAGCCGGGGTGGGGGTGGGGGACACCTCCTCAAGGAGGCCCTCCCTGATTCCTCCGCGCGGGGTGTTAGGGGGGAAACGACCCTCTCTGCTCGGCTCTGTCTCGTCCTGTCCCTGCTGCATTTTCCTGCTTTCCTGTTCACCTGACTTGACTCTTCAGCCCAGGACGGGTCCTCTCCCCAGCCCTCTCACCCCCGGGGCTCAGCTGACAAGCAATGAATGGAGGGTGGCCTCCAGGCTGGCCCCTCTGCTCCTGGGCCCACTCTCACATGGTGACCACGGTCGGCTTGTGAAAGCATCACTCCTCTTACACAAAATCCTCCAGAGCCTCCTTGCTACACTTAGGATAAAATCCAAAGTTCTCAGGCTTCCCTGGGGGCTCCGTGGGAAAGAGTCCGCCTGCTGATGCAGAGAAGATACAGGTCTGATCCCCAATCTGGGAAGATCCCACGGGCTGTCGGGAAACTAAGCCCGAGCACCACGAGTACTGAGCCTGTGCTGGGAGCCCGGGAGCCGCAACCCCTGAGCCGGAGCGCCCTAACCACTGAGCCTGCATGCCCAAACTACTGAAGCCCCTATGGCCCAGGCCCTACGACATGAGAGGCCTGTGCCCCACCGCTGGAGAGGCTCTCCACAACTAGAGAAAAGCCCGTGCAGCAGTGAAGACCCAGCACAGCCAAAAATAAATACATTTTTTAAAAAAATTCAAAGTTCTCACATAGCCTTCAAAGCCATGATCCAGTCCCTGCCCAGCTCTTCAACTCCTCCCATCTACCTTCACGACCACCCGGGCCCAGCCTCACTCACTCACCCAGACACAACCCTTCTGCCGAGCCTTCAGACATGTGCCTCAGGGCCTTTGCACTTGTTGCGCTTCTTACCTGGCACGCTCCTCCCGCTGCCACACCGCCGCCAGCCTGTCCTGACAGGGCCGACTCCTCACTCAGCTCTCAATTCCAACCTTAACCCTCGGCAGACGTCTTCCCTGAGACCCCATCTAAGCCCCTGCCCCCACCCGGCCACTCTTCATTGCAACCTCTGCTTTATTTTCCTTCTGTCATTGCTACCTGGAAGTAGCTTACTAGATTCTGTTACTCTGGGCTGTCAGCCCCGCGAGGCAGGGGCAGCTGACTGCCGTCTTGCAGAGCGTGGCATGCACAAAGCGCTCAGTGGGTGTGTGTCAGAGGAGGACCCAGGAGAGTGCCCGGGCCCCCCTGCTGCCCTGGGGTGGCCGTGTCCACGTTCCCGGGCAGCCCAGGGCCCAGACAGTGGGGGAGAGAGAATGGGCCCGCCACACCCAAGGCCCCGGCTCAGCATGCCCCGAGCCCCAACCTGTTTTTGGTCGTGGGCATCTCTGGGGAGCTCTGAGTGGATGAGTTCTCCGACTTGGGCTCCTGGGAGACATGCCCGCTGTCTGGGGTCTTCTGGCCGGCCGGGGGGCTCTCCCTGTGGGGCACATGGGGGCAGCAGGGAGGATTCAGCACCAGGCCTGGCCGCAAGAGTAGAAGGAGCCCCAGGTGGGGAGAGGAGGTCCCGGGCGCTCCTGCCTCGTACCCACACCCCGCATCCTCAGGGGCCAGCCCCGGAGCGGTCCCCGCAGCCCCTGGGCTGACCAGGAGGGAGCAGGCACTGCGGGAGCACCTACGCAGAACATCCTTGGGAGTTCCCCGGCGGTCCAGGGGTTAGGCCTTGGCACTTTCAGTGCCACGGACTCAGGCTCAATCCCTGATCTCAGAACTAAGATCCCACAAGCCGCACAGAGAGGCCCCCCAAAAAAGTAAAAAACGAGACAGGACATCCCCCATGGATGGGGGTCTAAGTGTCCCCTCTTATGGATAAGGAGACCGCAGTCCAGAGATGGGAAGGGATCTGCCCAGGGATGCGCAGCCAGGACATGGCAAAGCCAAGGCTTGAACCCTGGATTCGTGGGATTCCGGGCCCTCCTGCCTGTGAAGGGAGGGCCAGCTCACTCCTGAGACCTCAGGGCCCCTAGCGCCCGGCTTCACGCGCACGGCACCAGCACCGTGCCACTGCTTGTGTCCTCATCCCTGCCTTTTCTCAGCTTAGGGCAATGAAGCTCAGAGAGGTACAGTGACTTTCCCGAGATCACACAGCCGCAGCGTGGTGAAGACCAGATTCACAGCCCAGGAACTATGCTCTGCTCCCCCGAGGGCTCCCTGCCTCTCATGCGGCGGGGGCGGTGCACACCCCTCTCACACTGGTGTACTTACAGAGCTCCGCAGACCCCAGCTCTGCCCTTCACCCGCCGCGTGACCCGGGCCAGGCCCTCCCCTGACCTACGACTCCCAGGAGCCAGTGGAGCCGGGACTGAGATGAAGAGCTGGCGCACAGCAGGTCCTTGAGGGTGCGGGCGGGTGTCACCGGTGGGGACAGAAGGGGAGAAGGCTGGGAGCGCCCTGTTGTCCGCTTTCCTTCGCCGCGGAATGGGGGTCGGTGCAGGGGTGCGGGGCGGGGAGGACGACGCCATCCCGCCCGCCGCTCCACCCACCTCTTCTCCTGCACCTCCTGGATGTTCTCGATGCCGATGGCGCTGCTCCGTCGCGAGCCGAACGGACCCGACTTCTTCCTCGTGGGGCTCTTGCCGGGGACGATCAGCGACTGCGGGCAGACGCCCAACTCAGTGCCCACCTGCTCCCGGAGCTCCAGGGACCCCCACCCACCCACCCCACAGGCCACCCCCAGGGGCCCCAGCTGCCCGGGCCCCAAAGCAGAGGACCGTCCACTTCCCCAGAGAGCCAACCCAGTTTACAGATAAAGGAAAACAGGCCCAGAGAGGGCAAAGGGCTCCCCTGAGGTCACACAGCAGGTCTGGACCTGGGATCTTAGGAAAAGGGGGCAGAGGGCCTGAGCGGGGGGCTGGACAGCCCCTCTGGGCTGGGGCTGGTGGGGAGGCCAGGTCCTCGGAGTGGCAGCCCCCCGGCATTACGGGACCTGCAGCTGGAGGGCGGCGGGGAGAAAGCAGGCACAGCCACCCAGGCCCTGCCCCACTCCAGCCCTGCAGGGGGAGGCTCTAGCCCGGCAGATGAAATACCCCCGCTTAAGTTTCCACGCACACTACTGTGGGTCACCCCAGGTGCCAGAAGCAGGCCCCCCGTCCCCCGCTTCTCTGGGGCAGGCAGGCAGGATGGGGGGCCCAGGGAGGCACAGAGGGGCAGGAGCCCCCAGGTCAGTTCACAGCCGGGACCGGGAGGTGGGCAGAGGAGGGCAAGGCGCTCCATGCAGGCCCGGCGATATTGGGGGACGTGCAGCTGGGTGCTGGGTCTTCAGGTACCAGTTCCCGGCGGGGTCTGGGCCAGAGCCCCAGGGGCCAGGGCAGGGCCAGAGCCCCTGGTGGGGGTTGGGAGGGGCTGGCTCTGGCAGAGGTGCCAGGCCCCAAAGCAGGTTGCTGAGTGCCGTCAGAGCTGCAGGCACTCCGTCCTGCCTGGCCCTCGGGCCTGTCCCGGGGGCTGGGGGGGCGGGGGCAGGGGGCAGGGGGCAACGTCCCCAATATGGCCTCCGTCCTGAGAGCGAGCAGAGAACAGCGCGTGCAGACAGCCTCCAGAGCCGGCGGCCCCGCGGACGACAACCTCTTCCACGGTTCCTATGCCTATGGCACTGCCTCGGCGTCCGAATCTACTGCCACTTTTCCCGGGAATAAGCAATGACTGGCAAGCGGCAGAGGGCGGGGGGCAGAGAGACAGACAGACAGACGGAGAATCAGAGAGGCAGGGATGGCAGGACAGGGAGAGAGAAGTGAGACAGGGAGAGGAGGGAAAGACAGACAGACAAGGACAGGGAAGAAGAGTTGGGCAGGGGGCGAAGAGAGACAAGGCCGGGAAGGAAGCAGAGAAGAGGGGGAAGGAGACAGAGAACAGACGTGAGGAGTTGACAAACATTCACACAAGAAGGGCCACAGGGTGGAACACAGACAGACAGACAGACAGACAGACGGACCCGGGGATGGTACGGACAAGAAGAGATGGAGAGGGGAGGCACAAAGGGAAAAGCCAGGGAGAAAAGCGGAGGAGCGGAGGAAAGGGAGCAAGAAAGGTGCAAGGGGGAGAATGCACAAGAGCAAGAAAGTCGGGGGTGGCGGGGAGAGGGGAGAGGGGAGGAAGGGGAGGAAAAGGGGGCCACGTGCAAAAACAAAACAGAAATGGCTCTGGTTACTGCCGTGTGGGCCCGCTGGCCTGGCCCTTCCCCGGGGCCCCTCTGCAGCCGCCCGCGGGAGGCCGGGCCCCGCTGCGGGGAGGAAGAGAGTGGCCGGGGCATCGGGCTTGGAGGAGGGCGGGCTGCGGCTCCCGTGGCGGCGGGCTTGCTGACGGCTGGGAAACGAAGACTCGCCTTGCTCCCCCGGCCAGGCCAGACCCCGGGGCCGGGGAGGGGGCGGAAGGGGGGGGGGTCTCTCCTGCCACAGGACACAGCCTCACAGCACTGAGCACAGGGCTTGCTTGGCATGCAGCTGACAGTCAATAAATAATGGATGGGAGGATGGAAGGATGGATGGATGGATGGATGGAAGGATGGATGGATGGGTGACAGAAGGAAAGACAGACGGGGAGGGGACAGCAAAGCAGCAGGCGCAGAGCTCGGGGCTGGCTGCTGGGCAGTGGCAAGCAGACAGGCCCCCCGCTGAAGGCCTTTTTCATCCCGCGCCCAGCACACCCTCTGTGTGTGAGTGGCAGAGTCCCACAGAGCCTGGCAGACAGGAAGTAATCCCGCAGGAGAGGTTCACACGGAAGCCCAGTCCCCGACACACAGGAGGCAGCCACAACCACAAAGGCCTCTGGGAGCGCACGGTGGGCGCTCACACAGCTCGCTTCCCGATGGGTGATGGGTAACCACTGATACCCGGGGCTTATCACAGCAGGCCACTTCCTGACACATAGTAGGTTCTCATACAGAAGCTCAGGGCCTGGGCACACGGCAGACACTTACAGACGCAGGTCCACACAGGAGCCCAGGCTCTGACACACAACAGGGGCTCGCAGACACGCAGGGCCGGGCCCACGGGAGACGCTCACATGTCCACACAGCAACTGGGTCCTAATACACAGCTCACACGGCAGCCCAGGTCTGGACACACAGTGGGACCCATCAGCATTTCAGAGCCAGACACATAGCAGATGCTCACGCAGAGACCCAGGTCCTGACACACAGTAGGTGCTCCCAGAAACTCAAGGCGTGGTAAGAGGTGTCTGCACAGCAGCCCCACTCCCAGCGAACGACAAGACAGGAGGTGTTCCCCAAGGAACGTGCTAGGGGGCTGACACGCTGCAGAAAGTCCCAGCTGAATAAGGGGTCCGGGGGGGGGTGGGGTGCGCCAAAGCGCTGAAGAGGGGGCCGCAGGATATCAGGGTCACAGCCTGGGCGCCTGACCCCCTGGACAGCAGTGGCGGGACCTAGCCTAGAGTCCGGGATGGGCCCTGGGACGGCAGGGCTGGGGGGGCACTCACTATTCCAGCCGCCTTGGCCAGGTCGGGGTTGCTGGGCGCGAAACTCCCGCTGTGGCTCGTGGACACGGTGTGGGGCTTCTTGTTGCTCAGGCCCATGGCGTCCATGGACTGGCTGCGGCTCCGGATGACCCGCTGCGGAGGTGGGGCAGGGGTTTCCTAAGGCCCCCCGCTCCCTTGGGGAAATGCAGGAGCCACCCACTGATGCGACCCTCGGTGACCCCGGTAAGGCCCCTCCCGTGAGCCCATACAGGAGTCAGCTCCACGTGTGCAGAGGGCTGTGTAGGCCCCGGCTCTGCCACTAGCTTGCTGGGTGACCTTAGGAAAATCACCCCACCGCTGAGCCTTGGAGCCTCCCGACCTGTCGTGCGGCTGTGGTAAGGACCACAGGAGACGCGGAGTTGTGACCCAAAGCGTGTGCAGAGAACGCCCCAGAAACGCCCATTTCCTCCTTTTAAGGGTCTCTTAGAGCTTGCTTTCCTGCGTGATTTTCTTTCCTCCCTCCCTCCCCTCCTTGCTTTTTTCAGACAACTGCACGGAAAGCTCACGTCGGGCCGGGGCTCTCTACCTTTGCTCTCACTCAATCCGCCCCAGGAGGCAGGCACTGCTACCAGGCCCACTCTCCACGAGATGAAACCAAAGCAGAGGTGGGTCTGGGATCCAGATGCCAAACCCAAAGCCTAGGCCGTGGGCTCTGCTGTCTGAGAAAGGCTGTGACTTAATCCGGTGCCCACCAGATGCAGGGCCCTGGAGCCCTCCCTCAGAGAAGACAGCCCAGGCCCATGTCCACCCCATGCACTTGCTGTCTCCTCCTCGCAGAGGCAGGGCTCTCCTCAAGCCTCTTTCTCAAAGGCGGTCTGTTCACCTCAGCCCAGGGCAGAACTTGGGCGGCTTGGGCTAATCCTCTTATGCAAACCCACGTCTCCAGCTTTGTAGCCTGCCCTGGGGTAAAGGTGAAGCCCCGCCAGCCTGGCTGGGCACCGGGAGGATGGGCAGTCCTCCTCCTGTGGGTGGAGGGCACAGTGGCCAAAAGGTCACTGCCTGGGGACCTGCAGCCTGGGGGTTCCAGGCCCCGCGGGGGTCGGGGGGTGGGGAGAGAACTTTCTTTCTCCTCTCTCAGGCTGATGGTAGTTGCCGCGGTAAATGGGCACAGCTTTGCATTTTGTTTCTTAACTTACATTACACTGATCAAATTGCTTTACAGATAATTCTCAACAGCTGTATGAGGTAAGAAGCCATCACCCTAAACAATAGCTTAAAAAGCCCTGAGGCTCAGAGAATGCTCAAGGGGGCAAGCGGGAAGGCTGCAACCTTAACCCAGGGTGTCTGTGCCTTCAACACTAAGCTGACCATTCATCGGAAGGACTGATGCTGAAGCTGAAACTCTAACACTTGGGCCACCTGATGTGAAGAACTGACTCCCTGGAAAAGACACTGATGCTGGGAAAGACTGAAGGTGGGAGGAGAAGGGGACGACAGAGGATGAGATGGCTGGACATGATTTTGAGTAAACTCCGGGAGTTGGTGATGGACAGGGAGGCCTGGCGTGCTGCAGTCCATGGGGTGGCAAAGAGTCGGACCCTAACTGAACTGAACCAGAGGCAGCGTAAGCGGGTCACACGGCCTAAGGCCATGCAGACCAGTCCCTCTCCTATGGCCCCTTGTTCACGTTCCTTCCTGGACCTCTGGTTTCTTTCCCTGGGTCAGGACTCGGGGGTCCTCGCTTCTCTGCCCTGACCTGGCAGCCACCACCATTGGCACCGGAGCGCTCCAACCTTCTACCCTCCAGGCAGACTCCGCCCCCAGGCTTAGGCCCCGCCTCCAACCACCAGCTCCTCCCCCAGGCCCACTGCTACTCGAAAGCCTGGGTCCACCCTGAGGCTCACCGTCCTCGGTGATCTACCGGAGGCATGCGCCCACCTGGCCCGAGCTCGCGCCTATTCGCTCCACCCCCGGCCCCACCCCGAGCCACGCCCACACGCGACCCCGCCTCTAACCACACCCCCACCTGGTCCCGCCCTCATCCCTGCGCCTCATCCCCATCGCATCCCGGGACCATCCCCACCGCGTCCCTGCCCCATCCCCACCCTGACCCGCCCCCCTCCCCGCCCTTCACCTTGAAGGACTCGAAGAAGCCGCCGCCCCCGCCGCCGTTCTCCATCTTGTCCTCGTCGCCCCCCAGGCCCATCATGGACTGGCTGTGGATGTGCAGCTCCTCATAGAGCGTCTCCAGGAGGGCGGCCCGTGTCCGCTCCTGTCTCAGGAGAGACCCCAGGGATCAGCCCTTCTTCCCGTACTTGGAACCCCGGCCGCCTTCTCTGAGTGGGAAGCGGGCCTGGGCCCCGGAAGCCTATGCCGGTTTCTCTCGGTCCCCTGCGCAGCCCCCCGGGGGGCTCACCACGCCTCCTCTGAGATCTTGCTTCCCCACGCGCCCCCTCCACTGCGTCATCTGTGCCTACCTCCGAGCCCCTCCTGGGCATTCCTTAGGGACCCCTGCTTCCTCTCCCTGGATTCTGGCCCTGCTCACCTGTCGATTGGTCCTTCCCCCAGGCAGCCCCTCCCTAACGCTGAGGTCTGAGCATGGCTTTCCCCTTCCCAGGAGGCTCGGCTGCAATTCTAGGGGGTGGTGGGACCCAGCTCCAAGAGCCCATCCTCACCTCCAGTTTGGCAAACTTCTCGGCCTTGTAGCAAGCATATTCGGCATTGATCAGCTTTGTCAGCAGAAATTCCTGGAACTCAGGCCCCTGGAAGCCCCCAGCATGCAGAAGAGAAAGGGAGGAGGTCAGGGGCACACAAGAGACCAGGGGCTGAGACCCAACGAGTCAGGGGCTGGGGCTCTGCTGGGTTCTGTCCTATTCACTCCCGGTGCCCCAGCCCAGGCGCCTGTGAGAGCCCCCCTATGCCCTTCACGGCTGCTCACCCCTCAGGACAGCTGGGTTGGGGGTCTCCCACCACCTCAGTCTGGGGAACCTGTTGGGGAACTGGAGCCAAGGCTCCTTCTGAGAGGTGAGAGACGTGTGCCCCCATCCCCAAACACTGTAGAAGAAGACTGAAATTGTCAAAAAGACAAGACTGGAGGGAAGGCCACAGAGTCTGCTATGTGGAATGGAAAGCAATGATACAGTCTGCTCTGTGACTTTGTGAAACAGTCACAGTTCTTACCAAGATGGACAGAAAAGCTGGGCCCCAGCCCATCGGTTAGGGGGGCCTGGCTACCCTGGCACACGCGGACTCCACGACCTAGCACAGCGCACTGTGCACCCCCAAGGCCCCCACCCATTCAGTCCTGCTCGGCCTGTGGTGGGGCTGGGGGCTGCCCCTCACCTTCCGAAACACAGCGGGGTCCGGGAGGGGTGGTCCAAAGAAGGGGACGTCATCTCTCGCCGTGACGGACACCTGGAAGGGAGAGCGGGTGTCCCTGGGGGGTCCCAACACCAGCCAGAGACCCGATTCGTCTCCCTAGCCCGGTGCTGGGCACAGGGCTGCCCCTTAACGGGGGATATTCAGTGATTACAGATGGGGTGGGCGGACCCCAGGTTTTCAGCGGCTCCATCCTTAGTCCTGGATTTGAGTGGTGAGGAGGGGTGGAGGGTCTCCGGGCTCATGAGGGCCGAGAGGAGGAGGAGACTAAAGGGCGGAGGAGGGTAAGCAGCCTCTCTGAGGGGACGGACTTCAAGCAGCAGAGAGGGCGGGATGGGAATCCTCCACCATCATCCGGGCAGCAGCCGGGCTCAGAGCCCTCCGGAGAGCCCCCCATTTAAACCTGGGAAAACCGAGACTCGGAGGGGCCTTGCAGCGAGTGAGGAGGGGGCTAGGAGGGTGCCCTCGGGAAGCTCTGAGATCACCCACCTTGTAGAGGGGCCCGTCAGGGCCCCCGCCCCCGGCCTGCACCACCACGTAGGCGTGCAGGAAGTTGGACGCAATCATGTCCGGCACAAAAGGTGTGTTCTCATCTTGGAAGACCACAGCCACAATGTCGTTGCCAATGTGTCGCTTCCGCTGCAACTGAGCACAGGGCCACAGCCTCTCAGTGCCAGGCACGGGGCCCGGGGGCTCGGGGAGGGTGCCCGCCGGGGTGGAGGGGGCTGGGACATATCTAGGGACCTGCTTCCCCCCAGAAAACTGTGGCGAGAAACTGGTCTTAAAATTCGTTTTCTTGGAATTCCGTGACAGAGGAGAACGCTGAGGCTGAGAGAGCAGGGTCTTCCAGTGACCTAGGGGACTTGAACCCAGGGCCCTGGGCCCTACCTCTCTGCCCGCCTCCTGTCTAAACACCCCACACATGGCCCCTCCTGAACAAGTTAAGCTCCGCTCGGTATATATGACTTGCTAAAAGGAACAGAGAGTCTCATTCATAGAAAATGAAAAGACATTAAGGGCAAGGAAGAAACGCTTCCATTTTTCTCCCATGACGCCCTCATCCACCTGGGGTGGAGGCGTGCAGCTCCCAGGAAGCTTAGGACAAGGTGACAGATCTCTGAGTTCAGCTCGGGGGACGTGCCTTGGGCTTCCTCATCACCAGGCCTCTGCAGAAGGTGGGAGCCACTATTCTCCCCAGGAACACTCTGCCTCCCTCTCCCACCTCCTCTGCAGCCTAAAAGTCACTTGATCTTGAACACTTTGCCTGACTCCCACCTCTGCCAAGTCTAAGTGCCCCCACGTGACCTGACAAAACCCTTCACTCCTGGTAAAAATCCTCACACTTACTGATCTCCTGCTCCATCGGTATCAGATACTGTGCTAGCCACTCTGTGTGCATCCTCTCACTTGGGCTCACCTGTGAGGTAGGTGCCATTATCATCCCCATTTCACAGATGTGTAAACTGAGGCTTCCATGGCATCACAGCCACTTTTCTCCCTGCCCCCAACCAGAGGAGGCCACAAATCGGGGGACTGGATCACTTCCCTCTTCCTATCCCAGGGCCCCCTGAGTCTGGTGTGGTGGATGCTGAAGGGGCAGGTAGATGGGGCACAGGAGGACAGGCAGGAGGCTACCTGCTGGGCGTCCCCTTCTGTGTAGGGCAGCTTGGTGGAAACGTGAAACATGATCTCCTTGTTGCGGAAGTTGCAGTACACAGACTCGGTCCCCGTCTGCCCGTGGGTCACGTCCAGGCCTCCTCGGAACCTGCCCCAGGCACCGCCCCCAGGCCACGGCTCAGTCTCCAGCCCCAGCCAGGCCTCGGTGGGGCCAGGATGGGGGCTCCGTCCCTGCCCAGAGGCATGGGTCAGATTCTCCTCTGCTTATCCCAACCCGGGGCTCACCCCTTGAAGTCCTGCAGTTTGACCTTCTGGCCCAGAAACTCAAGGAACTCCACGAAGGCGGGGCTCTCCTCGTTGGTGCTGAAGAGTTCTTCCTCGGAGGTCTGGGGGAGGGGAAGGCACACAGAGGGCAGAGGTCATCGAGCTCGGGTGCCATCCCCCACTCACCCAGGAAGGCTGGAAGGGGGACCTCTGGCAGCCCCGGGGTTCCTGAGCTCGAGACCCCAGGTAGGTGCTCTCCATGGCCAAGGTCTGAGGCCCCAGGTACGTGGGCAGATGGGCGGGGGCGGGGAGGAGGAGGTCAGCACACCTGCCCGAGCTTCTGGTAAATGACTCCGAACTTGAAGTTATTGCTGATGACATGCTCGTCGAAGGTGACGATGAGGCGGGAGGCCTGCAGGGAAAGGGTGACGAATGAAACACACTGTTTTTGTTTTTCTTCCTTTTCATACTTTGTTATTTATATGGGCATACAGCCGATTAACAATGTTGTGACGGTTTCGGGTACATAGCGAAGCACCTCAGCCATACACATCCATGTATCCGTCCTCCCCCAGGCTCCCCTCCCATCCCGGCTGCCACATAACACTGTGCAGGGTTCCCTATGCCGTACAGTAGGCCCTTGTCGGTTATCCATTTTAGATATAGCAGTGTGTACATGTCCTTCCCAGACTCCCTAACTATCCCTTCCCTCCATCCTTCTCCACTGGGAACCATAAGTTCATTCCCTTCAAGTCTGACACACCGCCTTTTCAAGTTGCTGTTTATGGCTCTATGTGCCAAGCACTGTGCCAGGCACTCCACACGCATCATCTCATCTTCTTGGAAGGGGTCCATGAGGGACTCCTGCTACCCTCATTTCACAGATGAAGATGCTGAGGTTCCAAGAGCTTAAGGAACCAACTTAAGGTCAACAGCTGGCAGATGGCAGAGCTGAGGCTTGAACTCAGTTGGATTCCAAAGCCTGAGTGTTGCCCATGAGCTCCCGCCCCAACTCTGCTCTAACACCGGCCTGAAGTCTGGCTCTTCTGTGAAGCCATCTCATCGTTCTGGAACAGACCGAGTCCCCCCACTGTGCTGTGGAGCCTTGAGCAAGTTCCCCTCCTCACCTTGTCCTCTTCTGTACCTGGGAGGTGGGACCCGATCAGAGACCCCTTCCTTCAGGGGACCTTTCCTGGACCACTCACTTCTCAGGGACCTCACCTTGCTGGGGAATTCAGTCAGAGCCACAGGCTTATGTGTCTTTCAGGGTCCAGCTCTTTTGAGAAGCCCCCTGGCTTACTGAAGATGAAGCCCCTCTCCATCCCACACTTTCACAGTGTCTTCAGCACCCAGCAACAGAGCCGCAAGCGCAGCTGCCATCTGCTGGCTGGTACCTACGGAGCCTGTGTTACCCTCTCCCCAGGTCCCCTCCGAAGTCGGAAGGCAAGGCCAATGGAGCCTTGGCTCGGGAGCACAGATGACCCTTAGAAGGGTCCCCAAATGGCACTTGTGAGCTTCCAGAGGTAACTGGAAGGCAGTTACCTTCCAGGCAGACAGCACTGGATTCAAATGTGGACTTCCTTATCTGCTGGGCATCCCTAGATAAGGCACCAAGCCTTTCTGGGCCTCTAGTTCCTCTTCTACAAACTGTGGACTCTGTAGGCTTGTTGTGAGGATTAAATGAGAGAACTTAGGAAAAGTACCCTGCACACCGCAGGTGCCCGATCCATGCCTGATCCCCTAGTTACCCGCCCTCCCCAGGTCCAGCCATACCTTGGGGTAGAGCACAGGGTAGAATCGATCCACATTCACGTCTTCACACACCAACTGCAGGAGAAGAGAAGGGAAGGTATGAGGATGGGCCGTCTGGGCCTCCCGGGCCAAAGTCTGGTGGCGGGGGACAGCGGGACGACAGAGAGGCGTGCAGTCAAGGCTGAAGCAGGCCTGGGGGCTCACTGTCACTCAGAATGGGGTAGGGAGAACTGGGGACCCTTGTCTCCAAAAGGTGCCCTAAAGAGTGCCCCAAACACACAGCCAGCGTGCGGGCATCAGGGGAACACAGAAGGGGCAGGCTCCAGAGACAGGCCACAGCACCCAGGCCAGGATCTGGGGCTAAAGCCGAGGGTGTGCAGGGGCCAGGCCGCAGCCCAGCTCTGGGCCCACGGGGGTTGCCGGCAGGGCTCCGCCTGATGGAGCAGAGGCCTCACCTTTGCCATCTGGACCACGTTGGGGAACTCAGTGAGACAGGAGATGGGGATGACGTCATGGTATGTCCGGCACTTGGTCCTGGGAGAAGAAAACCCACACTGAGGGGTGAGGAAGCGGGAAAGGGAGACGGGAGCCCCGCCCCAGCCAGTAAGACCAGGAGGGGCAGACCTCCGGGAGGTCCAGAGGGGAGGTGGGGCCAGGCCTGGCTCAGGCGCGGACTTGCTGTGCAGCTTCAGGAAAATCGCTGGCCCTCTCTGGGCCTCCACGAGGGGAGCAGGTAAACTGAGGCGGGCTCACAGACCCCGAGTCCGCGGCCCTCCCAGCTGCCGCAGGCCCCCCGCCGTGCCCTCACCTGAGCAGCAGCCGCAGATGTTCCTGGTCCCCGATGACATCGTACTTGAGTGAGAAGACAAGGTGGCCCAGGGCGGTGTCCAGCGAGTAGTAGTTAAAGTGCTCCTGGGGGGGACGGGGGCCAAGGGGGCGAGCGAGGCTGAGCCTGAGGCTTCAGAACCCGGCCAGAAGGCCAGCTCACCCCTGGGCGGGGGCCCCTCCCCAGGCAGCAGGTGCCCGGGCTGACAGCACACTCTGCCTCAGACAGTGCGTGTGTGTGAGTCGCTCAGCGTGTCCGACTCTTTGCAAACCCCATGGACTGTAGCCCGCCAGGCTCCTCTGTCCATGGGATTCTCCAGGCAAGAACACTGGAGTCGGTTGCCCTTTCCTTCTTCAGGGGATCTTCCCCACCCAGGGATCAAACCTGGGTCTCCTGCATTGCATGCAGATTCTTTACCTTCTGAGCCACCAGAGACGCTCTCAAAGAGACCTGCATTTAAATCCCAGCTTTGCTGCTGGCCAACAGGGCAACCTGAGGTCACCTTTCCTTCTGTTCCTCCGTTTCCTAGTCTACAAAATGGGAGTGAGGCCAACTATCTTGTGGGAAGGCGGCAGGGGCTGGAACAGACAGGGTCCGAAGCAGAGAAGGGGTTCCTGAATGTCTGGAGTAACCTCGGCTCTCTGAGTCCTCAGCAAAGTCGGGACCACGTCTGCACACACAGGGCATCTCCCAGCCCCTGCCCTTCTCCGAGCTGAGCACACAGTGTCTGTGTGTGCGTGTGTCTGTGTGTCTGTGTGTGTGCACACACATGCGCTCAGGCATGTCCGACTCTTTTGCAACCCCCCTGGACTGTAGGCCGCCAGTCTCCACTGTCCATGGCATTTCCCAGGCAAAATACTGGAGTGGGTTGCCATTTCCTACTCCATGGGATCTTCCAGACCCAGGGATCGAACCTGTGTCTCTTTCGTCTCCTGCACTGGCAGGCGGGTTCTTTACCACGGCACCATCTGGGAAGCCCACACAGTAGGCGCTCAATAAAAACATGTTGACTGACTGTTCAACCCCTAGCTCTGTGGCCCCCGAAGCCAGGACCCATGACAATCAGGAAATCAGGAAATGAAACATCATGAACACACTGGGCGGCTGACCCAGCCGGTTCCTACCCTCCCGCCGCCGTACCTGGGAAGCCAGGAGGTTGGGAAGAAATACTCCCCAGGGCCCAGGGGAAACTGCGATAGGGCTGGCACCCCTGGAGAGCACGGCAGAGCTGCCACCTCCAGGTGGGGAGGCCCCAAGGCCACGGGCCGGGGTGCCAGATTTTACCCCACGTGACCCTGCATTCTCCTGCCAGCTTGGCTCCTCAGCCACGCCCGCCCCAGAAGTCATCACTGAGGAAGTAAGTCCTATTTAAATATAAACAGCTGCACTCAAAGGGCAGGAGGAAAAACATGCAAGGGCCAGGGGATGGACCCTACACATCCACAGCTCAGGGGCAGTCTGTGGGGACCTGGGGCAGAGACCCCCCAGTCCTGCTGGGGTACAGAGTAATGGAAACCCCCCCAATGCTTGGCACCATCTGCAGAAAGGGATAGGCAGGCACTTGGAAAGGAGGGCTACACCAAAGTCCTCAGGGTGGGGAGATTCCCCCAGACTGCCCCTCCCCTGGCCAGCGCCCGAGAAGCCCAAGGAGAGTGGGCTCAGGGTCCCAGGGGGTCAAGGCCAAAGTCACCCTAACCTCTGCCTGGACGGGGCCCACGTGTCATTATACCTCCTCCAGGAACCCCCAACCTGTACCCCTTCCAATCCTCTGGTGCTCACGGCTGCACCTTCATGGTGAGTGGTCACTCACCGCTGTCACTCATCACTCCGTCAGCAAACTCCTCTGAGTGCCAACTGTATGCTCGGTCCACACAGCCCCCCAGGTCCCACCAACTAAGAGCCTCTGGAGAGTGGGCTCGTGGGGTGCAGGTCGCCCGCCACTCATGGGTGGAACCCCCTGCCCGGTTCTGGGTTTGTGGGTTTGTCCCCAGGCAATAGCTACCGACCCAAGCCTGCTGGTTTGGTTCCGGTCACCCTTTCCCCCCACTTTAGCACCCATACCCACCAGCATCAGGCCAAAGCCCTGGGCCCAGACTCAGTACACGCAGCCCCTCAACACCTCAGAGAGTTGTGCCTCCTTCCTGCATGTGCACAACACACACACACATACATGCATGTGTGCGAGTGCCAGGAACATGACGATGTGTGTGCTAAGTCTCTTTAATTGTGTCTGACTCTTTGTGATGCTATAGACTGTGGCCTGCCAGGCTCCTTTGTCCATGGGATTCTCCAGGCAAGAATACCGGAGTGGGTTGCCACACCCTCCTCCAGGGGATCTTCCCGACCCAGGGATCGAACCTGCGTCTCTAGTGTCTCCTATATGGGCAGGCAGGTTCTTTACCACTAGCGCCACCTGGGAAGCCAGACTCTTCCCACAGCACGGCTTAATGGAAGGTCAGCCAGAGCTAGGTCCAGCTCCGAGCTCAGTAATTGTGTGACCTGAACCGATTCACTTTACCTCTGAGCCTCTTGTTTCCTCTTCTGGAAAAATCAGGACAGTCCTGATATCACAGAGTTAATTATGAAAACGTAATAACAGTTAACATTTCACTGAGTACCTACTATGGGCCAAGCATGGTTCTCGATGCTTCACGTGTACTTTTATCATCCTCATTTTTATAGATGAGAAAACAGGCTCAAGAAGGTTAAACAGCTTGCCCAAGGTCACGCCATGAATTAACGGAGGAGTCGAGAAGCGCCCCCGGGGTCACGAGACCCCAGAGCCCACGCAACATTCCGCCACCTCACTTGTAACTGATGGTACCTGGAATGTGGTCCCGGCGTGTGACCTCCTCCCCAGCTCCCGCTGCCTCATCCAGCAGCATCCGCCTAGGAGCTGGGTGATACTAGCACACACCGTACGGGGCAGCGTCCCCGATCTGGAGCGGGCAGTGGCGTAGGGGTTGCCCCCGTCTGGGTCACCCCACGGCATTACCATCTCCCCACTTCAAGCTGCCTGAGCGCATGGCCTGGGTCTGCTTTGTCCGCTGCTGCATCGCTAGTGCCCAGAACCAGACCGGGCACCCAGCTGGTGCTCATCACTTGCTCACCGAGCACTTGCTTGGCGCCAGAGGCCTTTCTGTACGCCTCACAAATACCATCGCATTGAAGGCACGAGGTGGGAATCACCACCCTCTCCGTTTGTACAGATGAAGAAACCAAGGCACACAGAGGGGAAAGCACCTTGCCCGGGGCCCCACGTAGTTAGAGGCAGACTCTGCTAACCAGATGCCATCACACTGCCTTGGTGCCATCCGTGTTTGCTGACTGAATGAGTGAATCCACGACGCATGCTCCCTGGACTCCCGGGACGGCTGGCCGGCCCAGCCTCCACCCCCAGGGCTGGGCTGTGACCCCCCCCCCACCCAGCCCAGCACCCCCAGACCAGCGGGCCACCCCACCTTGCCGAGAAAGTGCTTCCGGTAGAGGCGGGCGGTGTGGTTGCACTCCAGCTTCACCTTGGTCGTGGGCGACTGCAGCGGCTCCGTCTCTGGGATGCTGGTGACTTCGTGATTGGTGCCTTCAATCCAGTAGCCCCCGAACTGGGGCAGCAGGATCAGGGGGAAGGGCCCTTCTCGGCCCAGGACCTGAGGGAGCACTCAGCTGAGAGCCACTCACCCCGCACCTCGGGGCCCTAGGACACCCCCCAACGCGGACCCAGAGCCACTTCTGCCACGGCTGAGGGATACCAGGTGACAGCCCAGAGCCTCTGAGGGTCCCGGGGCTCACACCCAGGGCCCCCTCCTACCTATTTGGATGGCCAGAAAGTTTGTTCAGGTTTTTACAGATGATGGGATGGAAAAAACCCAAAGCAACTTTTTGGCCAAACCAAACCAATTTTTTCCTGCAACCCTTTTCCTCCCCCTGCAGGCCCCAACCCAGACACACACAGCCTCGGAGGATGTGGGTGTGGGGACAGGCTGGCGTGTGGGCTCAGACGCCTAAGGGTTCGAATGGGCTCTGAAGTCTTGGGCCTGTAAACAGAGGCTCCAGCACCCACAGCAAGGCCTGCAGTCAGGCTCGTGACGCGGAGGAGGACCCGGGTGTCCGGACTCCCTGCGAGAGCGTCTCCCAGGCTCAGGGTGGAGACAGGCCCTGTGGGGTCTCCGGCTGCTTACCTCGTGGACGCTCGGGTATGGAATGTAGTCCTCCTCCGTCTGCAAAACAGGGCAGGGCAGAGGTCACCCTTTCCTCCAGCCTCCCCAGGCGGGAGGAGTGGATGCGGCTGTATTCCCACCTCCCCATCCCACGGTGGGGGGCTGGGGGGTGGCCCCATGAGGCAGGGGCTGGGGCAGGCTGAGCTCACTGAGTGCTGGCAGGCTGGGCCCCCCTCTGCCTGGGGAAAAGGAGGCTCACTGCCTCCCCAGAAGACACACCTCTGGACCGGTGGGCCTCAGTGCATGGGAATGCTTGGGGGGCTGGTTACACAGACTGCTGTGCCCCACCCCCAGAGTTTCTGAGGCTGTGGGTCTGGGTGGAGCCCAAGAATTTACATGCCAATCTGCCCTCCAGGTGACACTGATACTGCTGGTCTGAGGACCACACGTTGAGCAGCCTGGCTCTGGACAAAGCATGAGCCTTGTGCCCAGGAAAGCCCTTATCCCAGCAGCCCCGGGCCCACTCCTGCAGGAGCCACTGGTCTTCTTGGAGGGCAGGGGTCCCCAGTCACCCACCACAAAGCTTGATACCTATCAGGAGGGGCCCTGCAGCCCCCACACCAAGAAAATTCTGAGTCTAAAGAAACTCCATACGTGCCTTTCAGTCCTGAGTGTCCTGGCAGTCTCCTCTGGAAGGGCCACCCCCTCCCCATCTCTTGCCCCCCACCCCCCCCCAGCCTTCCCAGGCAGGAGCTACAAGGCACGGGGTTGGGGGGGGGAGCACACGCCTCCTGGGTCCTGGGCGTGCATCTTCCTGAAACTGCTCATCGTAGCTGGCTTCAAGGAAAACCTCTTAGAGCAGGCTGCCGTGAGGGATGGGGCTTCAGTTCTGGGAAGGGGGAAGCCTGGAGAGGCAGGGTGAGTTTACAGCGGAGTAGAGTGGGTGAGGAGGAGTGGAATCAGGGCCCCAGGTCTATAGCAAGCAAGGATTTCTCCGCATCTCGGCCTCCCAGAGCGCAGGGACTAGGTGTGCCCGGCGTCCCCCTTGGCCTTAGCACCTGGCCAGCAGTGAGACTGCTCCAGGAAAGGATGCTGGGTTCTCCTGGGCTGGCTGCTCCACTGGGCCGTCACTTCCACTCCTAGGAAGGGGGCCTGCCTCCCCTGTCCCCATCCCCTTCCATCCCCAAGCCCTTGGGAGCGCGCTGCTCAGCCAACCGCCCGCAGAAAGGTGGAGTGGGACTGGCATCCAGACCTACTTTGAGGGGTGGTGGGAAGGAGCATCGCTGTTCATCCATCCTGCTTCCCTGCAAAGAGAAGGCAGCACAGCCCATCACAGCCCTGCCATGCCCAGCGCAGGGCCGATCCCCACTGCAGGCAGCACCCTCTCCAGGTAGATGGTGATGTGGGGGCGGGGTAGGGGTGGGCGCTCCCAGGGCAGGGTGCTGGGTACCCAGGCCTCCGGCTGGCCTCAGAAGAACAGGCACTCCTAGAAGGCCCTGGGGCTGAGGGAGGCGGGCAGCAGCTGGGGGCGCTGGCCGCTGCTGGGAGTGGGGGCAGGGCTGATGCAGGAGCTGGGGAGGGAGGCTGCCGCCTTGTCTACACAGATGCACGCTGAGAAGGAGCAAAAGAGGAAAGAGGGCGGGGAGGGAGGGAGAGAAGGAGGGGGAGAGGTGGGAACGGAAAGACGAGAAAACTCAGAGGCAGAGAGACAGAAAGATGGCGGGGGACAGGGTCTGGAGGGTGAACCAAGCTCAGGCAAGCTCCCGAGCTCTGTTCAAGTCCCCTGCCCACACCTCCCAACACCCACCCGAGCCAAACAGCAGGCAAGGGGCCTGGAAGACCAGAGCAGAGGAGCGGAGGGGGCAGGCAGGGGGATGGGGGCTGCCCTCCCCGGAACCTGCAGCCCAGCCTCTGGTTGCCCCGTGCCCTCTTTCCGCTCCACATGGGGGTCCTACAGAGCCTGCGATGCTCTTGGGAGACGGGCGATGCTCTATGTAGGTGGGGGCGGGTTGAGGGGCTGACTCCGGCTGCCTCCACAGGAATGGGAGCTGGGGAGACCCAAGTGGGGCCTGGGCCCGGGGTCAGCCAGGGAGCTGGGCGTTATCAGTGCCCGGCCTCTCTTCTGACCCCGACGGGGAGCTCTGGACGCCGCACCGTCACCGTCTCCTCCTGGCACGGTCAGCAAGAGCTCCCGGGCCAGTCCTCAGAGAGATGTAGGGTTGAAGATATAGCAAGGACCGACCCCCCAGCCCCAGCCCAGCCCCCTCCATGGCCCCCCAGAACAGGCTTCAGAGCCCACCTCACCTGCATCTTTTCAATCATCTCAAACAGATCTGTGTTCTGCAACAGAGATGGAGAGAGCAAGTCAGTGCTGGGATGGCCCCGCAGACCCCACAAGTCCCCAGGGTGTCTCCACCCACCCCAGCCCTCCTAGTCCTCCAATTCTGACCAATCCCAGGGACCTGTCCGAGCAGCAAGAGGGACCCAAAGGGACACCATTTAGGCTGGGGCTCTGCACCACGTACTGGCAGAGTCTGACCAACTGCCCAGGGTCGTCCACCCAGAGCCCAGGACCCTCACCAGGCAGCCCCCCCAACTGATGCTCTGCCCCAAAGGAGGGCCTCAGACAAGAGGGCCGTGACCTTTAGGGAGAGACACACCGCAAGAGCGGCAGTGCCAGGATCGGCCCACGAGCCCCTCAGAGGAGTCCCAGGTCGCAGCTCCAGAGATGAACCCAGCTGGGATCGTGGGGAGGGTTGGTGGTTCCACCCACCTCTAGAGGGAGGACCCCACCCTCCCCACCAAGAAGTGTGGGCCTGGGGGCTGGCGGGGGGGCGGGCGGCCAAGAGAGGATGCTGAGCTGTCCCGTTGGCCCAATACCTGCGTGTGAGTGCACACATACCCTCCCCTACCTGTGTGTGAGTGCACACACACTCTCCCCTACCTGCATGTGCGTGCACACACACCCCCTCCTCCCTCTCACACGGCCGCCGGGCTCTCTTGAGGCCAGCCTGGGCACACACGGGGTTAATCCAGCCATCTGCCAGCTGTGCTTGGCAGCTTAGGCCTCTCCAGCGCCAACTCCCTACGAGCCTTCCAGGAAGGCGGCATCCTTGCTGGCTGGCGGGGGTGGGGGCTGGGCCTGGGAAGCCCCCGGAGTCTCTAGGAGGGCGCCCCTCCCCCAGCACCTTCAAGGCCTCAATTCAGTCAGCTCCTGCTGCCCAGTGGGGGCAACCCTGGAGCTCACACACACGTGTGCCGTGGGGTTGTGCACCAGGAAGCACATACGCCCTCTTTCTCTCTCTCTCTGGATCAAACACACCCAGGCCTGCACACCAATATTTAAACACAGTCTCACTGTACCAAAGAAAGCAAACACCCAGAAACCCACATGCACAAATCCACCAGGTCTGTGTACACCACTTCTCAGACTCAGAGCTACACACGAACATACACACACCCATATCAGTGTCCTATGTTGCACAACAGCACGCTCCCTCACACACACAGAGGTCCATGTCCCCCAGGAGTCACACACAGAGGCAAACCCACCCCTGTGTTTTGCTGTGCTTGCTTTTAGTCGCTCAGTCCTGTCCAACTCTTTGCAGACCCCATGGACTATAGCCCACCAGGCTCCTCTGTCCATGGGATTTCTCAGGCAAGAATACTGGAGCGGTTTGGGTTGCCATTTCCATCTGCAGGGGATCTTCCCGACCCAGGGATCGAACTCGAGTGGCCTCCTGCAGTGGCAGGTGGGTTCTTTACCACTGAGCCCCCTGGGAAGCCTTACCCATATGAAAATCTGTGCAACTGTACCAGTAATTGCACATAAAGCTACACAGACACCACACGACCGCTCTCAAGACTGTGTTGAGAGACACAATAACATGCGCTTGCAGACACAGGGAGGTATGTTCATGGAAGTGGAGCCACAGAGCCCCACCCCCACCCACAAGCTCGCCCTCCCCAACAGAGTCACACACCCCGTGTAACAGACACGACAGACTTGATGCCACAGCACTCTGAGAAAAAGAAAAAAAAGCATGCAATAACTAGGGGAGTGCTTAAATGCCAAGGATGTGGGGCTTGGGTCTGAATCCCCCCCTCCCACCCACACATAGACAGAGCTCTGTGAAAGATCACAAGACACGGACACCCCACGTGCACCCCACTGTGAGGCCTGCCCACAGAAATGCCCACCCTGGAAAATGCACAATAGGTGTCCCTAGGAGGTGGGTGACCCACGGCCCTCACCGCCACACCCGACACTTGGGAGCTTGGGAGAGACAATTGCACAGGCAGTGACGGCGGCGACCACAGACACACAGTCCCGGCAGACAAACACGCCTGTCGACCAACACCTTGTACAACAAGCAGCATGTGTTGTACCTTGGAAAACAACAGCAGTTGTGTGCCCAAATGAGCCACACAGCCTCAACCCAGCACAGGCCCAGCGCTGGCCATTCCGGGGCACCTGTATCCTCCAGGACACCCCACTTGGGGTGACCTCACCAGGGGCAGGCGCCGGGAGTCACCACCTAACACCTAACACATGTCACCTGTCACCCAGAGCGAGTAGCAACAAGTGACACCACAGATACAGCCTCACTCATGTACCAGACGCCCTGACACGGGGAAGGCTGGGAGCCAAGCGGCCCAGGGACACCAAGCAGTTACACGGTGACATTCAGACCCCTCGTTAAGGGGGGGGAGGGGACGGATGAAGTGGTCCCAAGGCGAGCGCGTGCACACACACACACACACACACACACACACACGGAGCGCCCCTCTAGCCCAGAGCCACGGCTCCACCACGGCACTCTGTTGCTTAGGCAGCTGCAGAAAGAGCCCAGGGCCTGGGACCCCAGGGCAGGGGTGTGCCCCGTGGCCGCGGTGGCCGGGTGTCAGCCCAGAAGCGAACACACCCTCCATGACGGAGCCTCGCACACCCGCCCTGCCCGGGACAGAGCCCGCCGGGCTCCGCAGAAGTTGGGCCGAACCGTCTCTCGGGGGACACCCCTCGGCCTTCGCCCCGGTCCTCACCTGCCAGCCGGCCCCTGCAGGCAACGATCCCCTCCGGGGACGGCCGGGGGGCGCCAGGGGCCGCGGCTGCGCCATCCCGAGCCCGGCCCGGCCCCGGCCCCCCGACCCCGGCGTCGTTCCCACTGGCCCGGCCGGCTCCGGCCCGCGCGAGCCGCGCCTGAGTCCCCGCAGCGCCGAGCTCCGCGCTCGCGGCTTCGGGCTCCGGCGGCGCGCTGCCTGCGCTGGGCTCGCTCGGCGGCCGGGCCCTGAGGGGGCGGGGCGCCAGGTACGGGCGGCGCGGGGACGGGGCGGGGCTTCGTGCATCCGGGGCGGGGACACGGGAGGCCCCGCCCCGCACGGGCCCAGGACACTGCGCCTGCGCGCTCTTGCCGGCGCCCGAGCGGACACCGGAGCACCCGGTCTGTCCGGTGCGTCCCTACTTGGCCTCCTATAACGTCCTTCTTCTAACCCCTCTTAACCCAGTCCATCCTAAAGGAGATCAGTCCTGAATATTCATTGGAAGGACTGATGCTGAGGCTGAAACTCCAATACTTTGGCCACCTGATGCAAAGAACTGACTCAGTAGAAAAGACCCTGATGCTGGGAAGGATTGAAGGCAGGAGAAGGGGACGACAGAGGATGAGATGGTTGGATGGCATCACCGACTCCATGGACACGACTTTGAGTAAATTCTGGGAGATGGTGATGGACAGGGAGGCCTGGCGTGCTGCAGTCCATGGGGTTGCAAAGAGTCAGACACGACTGAGCGACTGAACTTAACCTCCTCTGGGTACTGTGCCTCAGGGCCTCAGAGATGGGCTTCTTGGGCTGGGCTTTGAAGTCAGGAAGGAAGCGGCGGGGATGGGAGGCTTAACTTGAAGACAGAGGGGTTTTCTTGAGCATCTGCTTAATGTTGGACCCTTTGCAAGTCTGATCCTCTCCCCACAACTCAAGAGGTAGGAGTGTCATCCCCATTTTACAGAAGAGAAAACTGATTCCAAGAGATAACCTTTGCTCAAGGTCACACAGCTAGGAAAAGGCAGAACTAGGAATCTACCTCCCTCCCCACCAATACCTGATAAAGGCAAACTGGTACCCTGGCTTGCCCAGGCCCCAGGCCCATACCTGTCCTTTACTGCCCCTGACCCTAGGAGAGGGCAGGAACAGGGGCTGCCAAGGCCCCATGCCTAGAGGGGACTTCAGGATCTGTGGGTTCTAGCTGTGCCCTTGCTACAACTTGCCAGGTTGCCTTGAGTGAGTCCCTGCCACCTCTGTAGGCCTCAGCTTCCCCGTCTGCAAAATACAAGGCCTCCGCAGGCCCTTCCAGCTGACCCTGCATTGTGTCTGCCACTCTGAGTGAGGGCAGGGCTGCAGCACCCCCTCCCCAGACAGATGCTGGGAAAGCAGTAATTGCTTCCTGACTTGTGGCCAACTTCGCACCAGCTGCTTCGGATCCTACAGGGCAGGGCTGCCCACCAGCTCAGTACCCCACCTCTCTTCAGCTTCCTGAAGGAGTTGTTGGCAGCTACCCACCACTCTCCATCTCAGGGCCAAGGGCTCCTGGAAGGAAGGTACTGCACCTTCCTTTCCCCTAGACCTGGCCATGGGTCAGGCTGGAGCCCAGGAAGCCGGCGGGAACCCTGGAGATGTGTGTTCCAGACACGGTGTAGCTTTGTTTTTAATAATTAACAGCAGCAAATATTGATTTATGCAGGCACTTTCAGGCCTGAGCGCTTCCGGGCACCCATCAAAATGCAGCCAGAGAAACATTCATTCCCACACGGGGAGGAGGCAAGAGCTACCTGCATCAGTGGAGATGTGTGTGTGCCAGGAGTGGAGACTGCGCACATGCGTGCCTGCAACTGTGTGTGCATGTGACTCTGAGAGCAGGTGTGATGTGTGTTCGTGGACATCCTAGGTGTGTTTGTACACGTGTATCTGTATATACATGCATGTGCACACGTGCAAGTCTGCATACATCTGCAGACGTGCGGATGTGCCCATGTATGTAGGTGTGGGTAGGCTGTATATGTAAACAGGTGCAGAGTTCTAAATCCTTGAGTAGAAAAACCCATACAAGGGAACAGGGTAGGGGTGCCTTGGGTAGCTCTGTGTCTATACCAATGCGGCTTCCCAGTGAGAGAGAGGTGTCCCTTCTGGGTGTTTTCTCCTGCCCTGGGAACATAATGAGGCTCATCATCACTCAACTTCCTGATTGCAACTTTCCAAGATTACTTTCACAGTCATCACCCTTTTGCAAGCGGGCCTGGTGGGTAGAGAAGAAACTGTCCCCTTTATTTTATAGACGAGAACCTGAGGCCCAGGGAGGGGCAGGGCTTTGCCCATTGATGCACAGAGGTCACCTGCTCCTCGGACTGGCTCCACCATCAACATTATTAATGTGAGCAGAGCCGGGAGAGGGGGACGGAGAACGTGTCACAGACCTGGGACCCTTCACCCCTCCCTGATTTGCTGGGGACCCAGATGGATCACTCAAGTTTCTCTGGGCCTCGGCTTCCTGTCCTGTCAAAGGAGAACAATACATCGACTGTGTCTTGATCCTGGGGAGGCCGTGGGCTGTGGGACGGGGCGGTCTGGAGCCCGCAGCCATCTGAACCTGTGTTGGCACAAATGGAGGCTTCCAGCCAAATTGGGCAAGAGGCCAGGGCTAACCTGAGCAGGCAGGACTCAGGGAGACGGGCTCCACTGACCCTCATGTTTCTGATGGGAACACTGAGGCGCAGGGAGCGAGAGTGAACCCAGGCCTCCTGCCGGATGCTTAGGGAGACAAGGACTGGGACCCTCACTTCTGAACTCAGCTGCCATGGAGTTGCTCCCGTCCAAGTCCCAGGGTCCACACAGCCCAGTCTTGGGCTCTTGCCCAGGCATAGGCAGCAGGAGAGGATCTCACAGACCCCCTGATATAGTCCCTAGGACCTACACTTGGACCCCCTTGGAGGTGGTGATCCCCCAAAAGTACACTATTCCTTGGCCATACACCCCTCCTGGCCCTTGTTCCAGGTCAGAGTGCTGGGCGAGAAGCTTGGCATATCCTGCGTCTGCTATTTATTGGCTGTGTGACCTTGGGAAAACCACTTTACCTCTCTGGGCATCTGGATCCTTATCTCGAGAATGCCTACCACCCACAGTTTGATGACAGGCCTGAGAAGCATGATACCTATGGACATGCTTTAGGATCTGAAAAGTGTACTACAAAAGTGAGAGCTTGTTACCCTCTGCATTAGAAATGCCACCAGACCAGGCACTCTGGTCAGATAACATGAGTTCTGGTCCCGGACCCGTCACATCCTACCTGTGTGTCTTTGAGCAAGTAACTTAACCTCTCTGAGCCTCGATTTTCTTATCTGCAAAATGGGACTAAGAAGAGTACTAATATAAGTCCACAGTAGCTATAGTTTGAGGACAAAATGAGATCCTGCATGCAAAACATTAAGAACCCACCTAGCCCGTAGTAAATCTCAGTAAATGCTAGCGGTTATTACTGGTATTGGACACCCTGCAGAAGCTGTCTAGTTATCTGTCTCCTAACCAGACCACAGCTCCTTGATGGCAGCGTCTGTGTCAGATCGATTTCCAGCACCTCAGCACCCAGCAGAAAGTTGACACAGGTCATGTGCTGGGCAAACATTTGATTTTGACGATAACAACAAGAATAGCTTCATTTACAGGGCTTTTACTCTGTGCCAGATATTATGCACAGTGTTTTATCATCCCTTTTTCACACTTTCCCCCACTCCACAGGGCTACTCTGAGAAGCAGCCCTGTGAAGTGGGATACTCTCATCACACCCGAGTTACAGAGGAGGAGATGGATGGTGATGCTGATAATGAAGATAAGGAAGAAGAGCTATTCGGCCAGTTTATTCCCAGCTGTTTGGCCCCCAACCTTGCTACAGACCCTGGTTCAACCTCTGAGTCTGTGTTAGGTCCACCAGGGGTGAGGGGTGGTGTCCCCTTGGGGGGCTAAACTCCAAGCCGCAGGGACCCAAACATTTCACCTCTGCACAGCAGTCACTCTTAGATATCTCCTGGCCCTGGGTGGGGGTCCTCCAGACCGGGGGCCCTTGGGAGGCGAGCACCTACCTTTGGGTGGAATGAAGCAGTCTGGGAGGGGACTGAGTCCACTCTTGGCGGGTCTAGTGCCTGAGGGAAGCGCTGGTTCTGCCCATCACTCCTCCTGGAAGAGAAGAAGAGCCTGAGGTCAGGGAGGGCCCCAGGTTGGGAGATCTGTGAACTTTGGGAGGAAGAGCTATTCTCAGAACTGGGGGATGTTAGGGGGACAGATTTCAAGAAAGAGGGGAACCTGGGTTCCCCAGCAGGCAGGAGGTGACCAGGACTTCCAACCTTCCCCAGAGGTCAGAGATATGGACAAAGTGTCCCTGTAAACTCTCCATTAGGCCTCCCTAACCCATACTCCAGCCAAGAGGATGTCCATAGCCCATTCTAAAGATGGGAAGACTGAGGCAGGGGTTGGGGGTTACTGAAAAGGGCTGAGCCCTGACCTCTGGACTAAGCAAGGTATACCCGTCCCTGAGCCTTTAGGGAGACAGTAGCCTTCAGGCTGAAAGGCCACCTGGGCCATTGCTATTACCAACGACAATAACAACAGACACTCACTGGGCCGACAATGTGCCAGGCCCCCTGCCAAGCCCCTCTTTCAGGCCTGAGGGCACAAGACTTGTCATCACACTGGTATTCCCAGTTTACAGGTGAGGACCCAGAGGTATGCAGAGGTCTCACAGCGAGTCAGTGGCCGAACGAGCATCTGTGTGATGCCTGACCGACTCCAAGCCCAGACTCTCTGCCCACACCCGCACCCTCCCGAGGAACGGGAGCAGGTCTGGTGAGGGTGAAGTCAGCTCCTGTTACCCTAGAGAGCCTGCCGACGAGGCCGCCTCTGGGGTCAAGGGGAGGAAGTGCCCAGTGGTTGCCGGGACCCAGGTGGCTCAGGGCTGGGCAAGCAGGCCCGGCTTCCACCCACCGCCGAGGGCCACCCTGACGTGGCGGCTGCCCCACCCCGGTCCCTGAACCAAGGCTGGTTCCTGGGAGGGTGAGTCATTCAGCCCACAGCCCCGCTTGAGTCAGGGCTGGGACCGCCACGCCCCAAGAGGGGAAGGGGCTGTGGAAACTGGGCCCAGGAAGGAGACCCTGAGGAAGCTCTGAGTCCCCTCCCGGCTCACCTGGGCCCAGCTATGCAGGGAGAAAGGCTCAGAGGGACTATCCATAGCCCCAGTGGGCTAGCATCTTACCCGGGGGCCCCACATGGGCAGTCTTGACGCAGAGGACAGATGTGGTGGCAGTGACATTTGAGGCCCGTGACATCGTTGTAGGGGAGATAGCCCCAGGCACTTACCTGCTGTGTGACCTTAAACCAATGACGTACTCCCCTCAGCCTTGGTTTCCAGAAAAAAAAAATTGCATCCTACAGCCTGGGCAGCTAGAAGGTGTTCACTCAATGAATTCTTTCTTTGGCATTCATTCATTCGTGGTAAACTCTGCCTTCCCACATCAGGGTCTCATTAAGTATTTGTTAAATGGCTGAGTGGGTGAATGAGTGAATGTTGGCAGTAGGTAGGCATTAAAGGTTTGTGAGAAAGAATGGCCTCCGCACGGGTTTCTGTAGATCACAAGGCCCGGTGACGTGGGGAGAGACTGGGAAGCGGGGGCGGGTGGAGAGAGGCCTGCAGAAATGGTCCAGACACATTCCACTGAGGCTGCCACGGGGACCTTGCAGACAGACTGAGTGCCTGGAACTGTGTCAGGCATATTACATCCGATTCACTGCTCTGCAGGGAGGTCGACATTATTTATCCCTCCCTTTTTTATATGTACTTTTTTTTTTTTTGGCTGTGTTGGGTCTGAGTGGCAGCGCACAGGATCTTCGATCTTCCTTGCAGCATGCGGTATCTTTAGGGTGTCATGCAAACTCTTAGTTGCAGCATGTGGGATCTAGCTCCCTGACCAAGGATTGAACCCCCCCTCTGCATTGGGAGTGTGAAGCCTTAGCCACTAAACTAAACCACCAGGGGTTTGTAAACCAAAAGGTGTTTGTAAAAAAAAAAACAAAACCCTTTTTTTTCCAGATGGAAGAACTAAAGCTCAGAGAAATGAAGCCACATCACTGAGCAAGCGGGTGACAGAGCCAGAATTTAAAGCCCATGCCCTAGACCAATCAGGGCCAGTGCCAGCAGGATGGACAGCAGAACCTGGAAGTCCGAGAGCTGAAGCCAGGGGCTGCTGGTTCCCCTTGACCGTGAGGACCACTGTGCTGGGAGCTCTGGCTGCCGAGGGGAGGTGTCTGCCAATGACTGAGCTAGTCCGATGCGCTCCTTCTGTCTGATGCTTCCCACACTCCAAGGCTCTGGCTGTGGCCACTGCCGGTCAGCCTGGCAGCAGCTCCCTAACACACTCCTCTTCTCGCGCCGGCCTCAGTTTCCCCGTGTCCCGCTGCCTCTCTCACTCAGGACTGCTCACGCTGGCACAGTCCTCGGTAGGTCTCTCAAGGCAGGCGGGCTCTGGCTTCTGCCGGGGCCCCTCAGCTCTCCGCTTCCCGGCAAGCCTGAGTCTCCCCCTCACCAGCAACAACCTACAAGGTCACTGCCGAGGCCCTAAGACGCCAGGCCCGGGAGGGCCTCTGGGATGAGGACGGAGCAGGAGGTCTGAGGCTCTCGGCCCTGCCTGCCCCCACCCATCCCAGCCCTGCAGGGATTCAAAAGCCATAAAAACCAAAGCCATAGCCTCCCTGTGTCTTCCGTGATTTTTCTTAATCCTCACAGCTCCCTGAAGAGGCAGGTGCTCAAAAACTACCTGCTTTTTTATTATTCTTTTAATATTTATTTTATTTACTTGGCTGCTCCAGTCTCAGTTGCAGCACACGGGACCTTTAGTTGCGGCCCATGGGATCTAGTCCCCTGACCCAGAGATAGAACCCCGGCCCCCTGCACTGGGAGTGTGGAGTCGTAACCACTGAATCACCAGGAAAATCCTCCAAACTACCTGCTTCGCACCACAAGGAAACTGAGGTTCACAAAGGATATACTAGTGTGCCCAAGGTCATACAGTTAATGAGGCAGAACAGGCATCTGAACCCAGGCTTGTCACTCCAGAGCCAAGGATCTGGACTTCGGCGCACGGGCGACCAGGCCTGTGGACCCAGCAGGTTGTATCAGTGAAGGAACAGTAACAACAGCAACGGCAGCCAGTGCTGATACAGGACGAACGGTGTGCAGACCCTGCTGAAGTGGCTTCACTTGTATCCCCTCATTTAATCTTCATCATTCAGAGGAGGCAACTAAGACACGGAGGTTAAGCGGCAGGTCCAAGGTCAGGCTGACGGTAAGTGAAATACAGAGGATCCGAACCCCTGAACCTCGGACTGAGATGCTGCCCTCATGCTCCACTATACTATCAACCCACCCCAGTGCTCTTGCCTGGAGAATTCCAGGGACAGAGGAGCCTGGTGAGCTGCAGTCCATGGCGCTGCAAAGACTCAGACACGGTTGAGCGACTAGCACAGTCGCTCATAGTAAACAGCCGTTGCTCAATAAATACCTTTGGAGAAATGAATAAACCCAGCCACTTGCCTCCCTTCTGCCGGCCTGATGCTTCCTCTTCCTCCTCCTCTCATCCTTCCTCACCTCTCACACACCCCGTCCCCACCTTCCCGGCCCACCCTTCCCTCCCCTCTGCCTGTGATCCCTGCACTCCTCCTTCCGTTCGGTCATGCTCCTCCCTCTCATGAACCTGAATCTGTCCTTCCCCTCGCCCTCCCATCGCACCCTTGTCTCCTGGTCTCCATCATTTTGTTCACATGCAGCCCCCAGTCTCTGCCCCTCCCTACTTCTCTGGAAACCTTCCTGACCCTATGGCCTGGCTCAGTTTATTTTTTATTTATTCTTTAATTTTTTGACCATGCCACATGGCATGTGGGATCTTAGTTCCCCAGCCAGGGACTGAACCTGTGCCCCTTGCAGTGGGAGCACAGCGTCTTAACCACTGAACTGCCAGGGAAGTCCCCCTGGCTCAGCTTAAAAATGCTTTACCTTCCTCCCACACACGCAGCAGCTGGGAGGCGCCCGGGGCTGACCGGGGACACGGGCAACTCGCCCCACTTCTCTTTTCTCCTGGCCAGGACCGCAGTCATATCTGCATAGCGCTCTGCAGTTTGCACGGGCGCTGTCTCAATCCCCACGGCAGCTTTGTGAGGTTGCATTACTATCAGCCTTCTTCCAGATAAGAAAACTGAGGCTCGGAGAGGTTAACAGGCAAGCCCAAGGTCACACCGGGGAAAGGGCAGTGCCAGGGCTTCCTCTAGCTCAGGCTTCTGCTGCTGCTCGCAAGGCAGGCTGTCCCCAGTGACTGGGCAAGTCACCCAGCCCCCAGCGGCCCCCCCATCGCAGCCCCTGGTTCCGGCCGCCACCAAGCATCTTCCCGCTCCAATCCTGGCCTGTCTGGCCTGGACACCTGCCTGCAGGGACAGGACATTCCTGGACACAGTAATAGGCGGGAGCCAGAAAGGAGGTGACTTGCCCAAGGTCACACAGAGAGCCGGAGCCAGCCTGGAGTCCTGGCCAGGTACATTCCGGGGTCACCATCAGGCCCTACAGGTGTGTGGCCTGCAGCCAGCTGGCTCCGGCTCCCCTCCCCCTCGGCGTGCCCGTCTCCCCTTCAAAAGGGTGCGGCGGGCTCCCAGGCGGGATGGGCCAGGCCGGAAGCCTGCCGACAGCTCCCGGGTTTCTTGGCAACTGTCACTGCACCGCCTCCCCCTCCCTTATCTCCACGTCGAGGTAACAATAATAATTGCGGTGTCGTGAGTGCAGTTCTCTGTACTTTTCAAAAGCCCTCTTTATCTGCTCACGCCCGGGAGTCTCAAGCGGACCTGGAGCGGGAGATAAGGCAGTCACTAGGATCCTCCACTCCCAGAAGGGTAAACTGAGGCTCAGAGAGATTAAACAACAATTTGGAAGTCACCCAGCAAGGCGGGAGGAGCTGGGGAGCCAGAACCAGGCTGCCCCCAGTCCAGGGCCCCAGATGCTGCACTGGGCTGGGGAGGGGGTGCGTTTTAGGGCGGAATCCACAAAACTCAGGTCAGACCCAGAGTGACCGGGGAGATGGGGGAGGCGGAGGACAGGGGACTAGATGCTGCCCTGGTTGCTTCCCACCTGTTAACCAGCTGGA